TGCCAGGCGGTGCGTCGGGGAGTGTCGTTTGCCGGTCGTCATAAGCAGAAGCTGCCTGCCTCGAAACGCGGGGCCGGGCCTTCCCCACCGTAACCGTGTTGGGTTCGGGTTTATGAATCTGTATATACGTATATTTTGGTACAAAGGGGCAAAATAACGAAAGTCCATCGCTGTATCCCTCTTTTTGTTGTAACTGTACCTAGCCAGTGCCTGAACATAACCGCGAGAAGGTGTTACTAAGCTTTGCAGACCAATTCAGTCACAGCATACACCACCACCACCACCCCCCCCATTAGAATAGAAGCAGATGAAAAGAAAGACGAGATTTTCTGAGTATTTTTGGTCCCTATTAAAGCTGAAGCACTTCAATCTTTACTTCATAAGACCCTAAATAGAACAGGAGCTGATTGAGGATTTTCTGAAACAAGGTCATTGAACTGAAATTATCTCTTCAGCCATGACTATTTTACGTTACAATAAAAGAGGCTGATTTTTATGCTGCTCTCTGTTATTATATGTATCCTAAATAAATTGAACAGTTTTCAGTGTGTGTTGAGTGTCACAGACCAACGTGAACGTGTTTTGTTGAATTCAGCTTTGTAGCTGTTGTGTCCACTTACCATAATGATGAAGACGTTAAAGAGACATAGTTCTTTTGTGCTGAATATGTACCAGAGCAAAGTAACCTCCATTAAGAACTCAGGTACATGTCACCACCCAAACCAAGGATATTTGTGAAGGAAGGGGCATTTCCAAGCAAAAAGGATTACATGTCGTATGAGAAGAGGTGCAGGAAAAACATGATGGAAATAGACATGGTGTGGAAAGCCAAGGCAACAGCCTGAACAAGTTTGAATATTTAAACTCGGAGAAATCTAGAGTGATTCTTGTGGCGAGTGATGGCTAAAAAGTAGTGAATTAGGAGGAAAAAAATGCCAGATTTTCTTGAACAAAACATGGATCAAACAAAAAGAAGAGCTTTTATAAGGTTTGTATACAAACAAGTTTGCAACAAAAGTGCCCAGCTTCATTACTGTTCTTTCCTCTTAAACAAATCTTGACTAAATTTTGAGGTCTAAAAGAGCAGCACTCTTGTAAAGCATGAAACACAGAGTTTTAAGAAGTGGAGCTGGTATTCATACGAGTAAATAACTGAGAAGTCCGAGATGGTCATCAGAATTTAAAACAAAAGCTTGAAGGAATTTAAGCAGCATCTTCTGGATGGAAGGGTTTTTACAAAATGCATGGCAAAGTGCTTAGAGAGATTGGGAAGTCCAGGTGCAACCCTTCTTATCTGGAAGGGCAGGATGGTCACACAGCAAGAGCTGTCTTGCTGTTCCAGGGCCGTCCAGGGTCAGAGCTAACTCTTACATCCCGTATTCTGTTGCCATATGCTAACGCTTGTATCAGGAGCTTTTAGTATGTTGTAAATGACACAGATTTGTCTTAGTAGAGAGACACTTAGAAGTGGCACCTTCCAGCCTACAGCAGAGGGTACAAAGAGAATAGGAACTTTTGAATAACCAAGATTTCCTTCTTTTATGTTGCTTTTGCAAACAGTAATAAACAAATTTGGAAAGGAATGATAAGTGGCTAAAGCTGTAAGAAAAGCAAAATCAGCTGTTTAGACTGACGTGTGTCTCTACATGTCTTTAACCCTTTTGTGTCGTTAGATGGAGACAGATGCCTTCAATTGAGTGAGCCGAGCCGAGGGGTGGCAGGCAGTCAGCCTGGACCCCCAAGCACTGACATTTAAGCAGTCCTTCAGGAGCTGTTGGCACCTGTGTGCTATGCAGGCCAAAGATTGTTTAAAAGACTCAACCTTTATAGTGGCTCATCTTCAGTTTTGTCATGAATATGACTATATCCAGCCTAACTGGCTACTGAGTATTTCCCATTTTTGTCCTCCTCAAAAATTCAAACCAGAACTGAATCGTTTCCCAGCAGTCTCAACTGGTGTCTGTGTGACTTTCTTTACCCCTAATACTAGCGGAGGTGATATGTTTTGAAAGCTAGCTGCTTGTAAACGTTCACTCACTCTAGCAGAAGGTTCCTGTCAAGAGTCCGATGAATGTCTTCTCATTTTAATATGTCGTTATGGGAAGCTTTTTGATAATTTGATCTACTGTAAGCCATGGCATGGATCTTCTAGGACTTGTGCATCCCACATCTTTGCAATGTAACTTTAAACAAGATTTCTTTAAAGGAAAGTGGGCCAGGCAGATAGAGAACAACAATGTAAAACGCACCTGGGAGCAATAAAAGCTGGTAGTACTTCTAATAAACATAAACCATCGATCTCTTTGTTAAAGGATGGGACTAATGCTTAAGAGATTATGAGTTCTAGTCTTGGCTCTGTCAGAGACTCACTGCAAGACATTGAGTAACTCACATTTGCTTTGTTACTCGGTTTGCTTTGACTCAAATCTTCCCCTAGTAGTCAGAGCTGGAAATGCTAAAGCCATTCATGTTTATAAACCATTAGTGATCCTTAGTTCTGAGGTGCTGTGGCACTATCTAACGTCGTTGCATTGATACTGCTCACCAGCTTGATGTGGGTAGCATAAGAGATATCAATGTTCTATATTTGTGTGTCACTAGAGTTTTAAAACAATTTTTTTCCCCTCTCCTTTTTATAGTATTGCTCTAACACATCACCAAAATGAGTGAAAACGAAGACCAAGGAGATCCAGCAGATATAGGTGATTCAACAGAAAGTGGAGAATATGAGGATGACTTTGAAAAAGACCTCGAATGGCTAATTAATGAAGAAGAAATAGAAAACCTTGGTGAAAGAGAGGTATTTGTTAAATTAAATGCTAGTTATTTTATTTAGAAGACAAAATTGAATACTATTTGGAATCATAAGCACAAAATTCAATGTGGTTTGAAATGTGTAGGTATATTCACTGAGTTTTGACAAGGAAGGTTGTTTGGAATTGTAGTGAAAAATGATTCAGTGAACTGGTTAGTTTGGTTATAACTGCCTTAAAACGGAAAATTCAGTGTTCATTGAAAATAATATGTTTGTTTCAAAAGTACTTCTGTGTTCCTTTAAGTGTTTGTGCAACACGCGACATTCTGTTTTTATGCTGTCACTGATGGCTTTACTGTGCAAGCCATGGTTAGTTAAACTTTGTGCAGATGTTAACATGGAGAAACTGCAAGAGAGTTGTTAGTGCCAAAAAAAGCTATTGGTTATGACGTGCACTATTTGACAGCCTGTTTTAGAATTGGTGTAGTTAGTACTGCTCTTCTCTCTTGCTATTTCTTTTCTCTTTCTCTGATACTGTTCTTTGTTGGGAGAATAGACTAGTTTATTTTAATTTTTTTAGAATCCTGAAGAAAATGAAGAGGATATTGAATCACAAATTGTTAAAGTTGCAGACAAGTTTGAGGAAGACAATGAGGAAATGGAAGAAAATCCAGATCAGCTTTCAGAGGCAGATGTAGATGCGAAAGTGAGACCCTCCAATAAAGAGAGTTTGGAATCCAGGTCTGATATTAAACAGGGGGACCGTGTGTCTGATACTGATAGTGAAAGCTCTGTCCAGGAATCCAAGCTGGAAAACCAGCAGGAACTGGATGAGGAAGAGGATGAAGAAATAAAGCGTTACGTCCTGGAAAAGATTGAAGAAGCCAACAAACTGCTGGAGAATCAGGCTCCTGTGGATCAGAACAGAGAACGGAAATTAAAATTTAAGGATAAGCTGGTGGATCTTGAAGTTCCTCCTCTAGAAGATGCTGAAGTTTGTAAAACTGACCTTGCAAGACGAGATGATGTTTCAAATAAGCTATCTCAGTTGCATATTTCTAATGAAATGGGACAGGAAAGCACATCACTTTCACCACGTGCTGACAAGGATGAGGAAAAGAAGGATGGTAAAATCCTAGTGGAAAAAGATGGGAAATTTGAACTCTTAAGTTTACGTGATATTGAAAGCCAGGGCTTTTTGCCCCCTATAAGTGTTTCTTTTACTGATATTGAAACTCAACATATGTCTCCAAAATCTTCACACTACGGTCCTTTTGGCACTGTCTCTGAAGTGAAGGAAGTACCTCCAGTAAGACCAGGAGCACATTCTTTTTCTCCTGGTGGAGAAGAGTGCGTGCGTTTCCCTAAGCCTCCATCTAACCCTAAGCGTCGTCCAAATTCTGCTATCAATGCTGCAAGAGGTCTGGGAAGATGGAAGACTCCACAGAGAGCACAGTCTGCAAATATGCCCGTGAGGAGCTCCACTTTCTGTCTTTCTCCCAGACAAAAAGAATTGCGCAAGCAGTTAGAACAAAGGAAAGAAAAACTGAGGAAAGAGGTAAAGGTATAGAGGCAACAAGTAGATCACAGTGACCATCCTGTTCCTCTGCTTCACAGAGACCACATGTTCAGGGCATTTACTCCATTTTTCCATGACAAAAGAGGAAGTAGTAATAATAATAATAATAATAATA